AAATATGCAACTATAAATTTTAAATATAAACTTGTAATGCTATGAAACAAATTTCTATTTTACTTAGCTATGTTTTTAATGATTATTTAAAAACATGCAAACTCCTAGAAGTCCCGAGCCCTAGGTCACTTAGAACTATTCTATAGAATCAGGCAGTTTAGATATACGTTGAACTAGTACATACATTTATTAAATTATAGATGTATTTCTTGCTTGATCGAATTTATAGTATGAGACAATGAGGTTATAATAAATGGGTACATGAAAAAATGTATAGATAAATATAATTAAATATATACGAAACATGAATTCAAATTTAAACTCTTCATTTATGAATTATAACTGTGCTCAGGCTTACAAACAAGTCAACATCAAAAAATAAATCCGTCTTCAACGGATCGATTTTTCTTCCATATTCCGTAGTCACGGTCGCATCTCTCCCGAAAAGATTCGGTAGGTTAGTATACTCCAACTTCTGGGCCACCATATAGAAACTAGGCGTGTCCACGGTGCTGCTGGTCGTAAAGTATCTGCGGGTCGTGTTTACCAACTCGGCATACGTGTGTTTACTGAGGAAACAAATGACAAACCTGTCCGGAAAAATCGGGGATTTAGGATTGCGAGTTTCTCGTGAGCTTGTAAGCGACTGACAATTTGGCTAACCGAGCCCTGTACGTGCTACGCCACGCACCGCGGTCACACATACGTTTTCACTTTTCTGTAGCACGGTGACAAGCTTCAACCGTCCAGTTGCGCGTCAACCCGCATGCAAACGAAAAAGTTCTTCCAGCTATCTACTGGCTGAGATGCGGGTGATTAGGTACTAAAAGGTTTACAAATTATACCATGTCCAGAGGGGAAGGAATCATACTTTTTTCACCCTTTTCATTTAAGTTTAATTCACATTTACGGTTTTCACCATCTTAACCCAACCTACCCATCAGCACGGAAAAATGTTGACTCAGTGTGACCATAGGCGTGTGAACAGAGGAAGGGGGGTGACCCACCCTGCAAGCTTTCCCGTCATTATTATGAATTGCTCCTTAAATCATATACATAGTAGGTACTACATGATCTCAGCTGCAATCAACTCATATTGTAACAATGTATGATGAACCTTGTATTACATTTTCAAGTTTTTTAACAGAGCAAACATATTTTACCGATATTAATTTTAAAAAAACACCAATACAAATCGAACATTTCATATGCTTATAGCTCAACATGACTCGAAATATTTTGAACATTTTATAGTGTATAGAAAATGCTAATATCAACATTGAATACACATTCTATGTATCTACGGTATATTTTTTTAGAACTACACCAAAAATTAAATATCTATTTTTTCCGGAGCTTTTTGAAAACTGTACTGAAAATGTTGAATATTTACCTCCCAAATGCACCAACTAGATTCACTTTCTCATCGGAAAAAATACTGAAGTTGAAAATTGGAACTTTTTTTCAACTACTTATCACGTATACAGACACAAAGAACGCCCACATCATTGAAAAATCCTGCCTATAATGCCTTCTTTTAATACAGAATGTCATTTTTCAATTTGATTCAGTTGAAATATCTGTTTTGGTATAAAACAAAAACAATTTAAAAAATATTATTTTCCATTTTGTACTTTCAGTATTATTAAGTGTAATTAATATATACGAGTAAGATTATAAAAGTTATAATGAATTAACTATAAATCTTACATCCCAATCAAAACATATTATTTAAATAAATAAATGATAATATATGAATGTGTATATGTGAATAACATTTCTTAAACATTATTCGATTGTATTTTTTAGAAGGTATACTACATTTATACACATAGTAAATCAGTTTTGCATATACAAATATGCATTATTTTTATGCAAGCAACTGACGAGACTATAATACAAACTAATGACACTACAATTAAAAAATAAAAATGCATGTGTATAAAATATGTATAATGTATGTATTATACATTTATACCTGCCCAAATACCGCTATAAATTATATTTTATTAGTTAAAACTGCATGTTAAAACACTTCTCCATTAATATTTATCTAGACTCTAGAGCAATATTACCATAGCCTCTCCACTGCAGGGTAGGTTGTAGGTGCTAACATAATTATTAATTAATCAACCTAAATCAAATTATAAAGATATTTAATTTTACTTGTGTAACTATATTAGAATATTGTAATGAAATTTCGCCATATCTGTAAAATCATATTACATTGTTATTCAAACGTTTTAAATTAGTTGTAATGATTTGCTCAAAATTGTCAAATTCGTAGGTTAGAAAACCATCTTTGCCCAAGTCACGTTTAATTGTTTAAATAATGGATACCTACCTACGCATAATGACACTATATGTTAAACATTTCTTCAACGTTTTATATTATTATCAAACAATTATTTAAATACGCTATAGAATGGCCAGATAAATTTTGAATCTTTCCTGTATCTCCCTACATCCACCGATTACGGTAGGTATACAAGTTTCCAACATTAAATAATACAGTAAGTACCTACCTATTATATCATTAACATCATCTATTATAAAATACTTTTTTTATAAAAAAATTATTCGAAACAACTGTTAGATATTATTTAAGAAAAATATTAAATATTCAATGGCTATAGGTAATCAAATTATAATAACAGTCAATAAATATTAAGTTTAAAGTATAGTAATAGTAATATAGTGAAGTATAATGTATTTATGTAAGAATATTAATGTACCCTAGTAAAAAAAGAGGTTCACATTTGAAAAACAGAAGTTTGTATCACTAAGGAATAAAAATCTCAATTATTTGAAAATATTCTATTTAAGTATAATAATATTGTCCTATATGGTTTATTAAAAAAGTGTCCAATTTTTGGATAAAACTTTATGCATGTGACTTAAAACAAAAACAGTTTTAGTAGATAGGTATACCTATATAGTTTTTAATGGTTATGATTTGGGAACTTCGGCTATTAATCTGCTAGGGTAAGAGTAAGGTAGTATAGGACCTACTGAGATTTTTAAAATTTTTTTTTTCAAAATTAACAAGCTTATATTATATTTTCATTTTTCAAATTTTCGATTCTATATTTAAACATAGGTAGGTATTTAATATTATAATATTATAGAATATAAGACCATATATTGATTAACCATTCAAATAATTAATGGGCCATCCGTTTATAATTAAAGCTTAAAAGCTCAATGCGAAACTACTCCTGTACGGTACCTAGTCGGTGTTGCCGTATTGGTATAGGTATGTACATATGATTTTAAATCATATGACTTTAAATATTATTATAGAATATTAAAACGAGTAAAAATAAAACTAAAAGTAAGTAATACGACGAAAGTCAACGAATTTGTATTACCTATGGTGAGAAGCGAAATATTCATCATTCATCTGTGATAGCCGATAGATATATCATATATCCATATACCTATAAATTAAAATATGGCTATAGACAGCTATACCCCCTTTACAGTTTTACTCTTTACTTTTTAAATCACAAATATAGATTTTAATTAATTTTTGAGTACCTAGACTGTTTGATGATATAACAGTTCTGAGTTGAGTTATCGAAAATAGCATAATGTTCTCTTTATCACAGATTCAATAATACGGTTTTCCTCTAATTATAATAGAAATTTAATAGTGAGTCAATTATAGTACCTATATTTATTAAATGATGTTTGTTCTTGAATCACATAAAACAATTTTAATGTGTGGGTATCTAAACAATATAATTTCGTAATATTACATAACAACACTCAATAGTGATACTGCAAACATTGGACCATTTTAAATTACTTTATAAATAAGTTTGGATATAGATACGTATTTAATAAATAAAATGAATTCTTTAAAATATGGCGTATAACAATAATACTATATGTGTAGTATATTAATATATATTAACTATTAATATTACATAGGTAATTATAATATGTATTATTGACTATTGTATTATGTATAAATGTATTCACTTGGCGGTTGAGAGAGTAATTTGTACGTATTTTCAATAACTAGTTTATAGTTTTTACTGTAATAATTATTAATTACATATTAAGTTGAAATAGACTTATAGAATTTATAAAATCCATAAGATTAAAAGTATAGCTACAATTTTAAAAAAGTAGGCAAGTATAGGTTAAGCATGTCGTGTGCGCCTGTACTAAAATAGATGCCCAGTGTACCTCATTACCTCGTCAATTCGTCAATGAGTAGGTAGGTCAATGTTTGATGTAATGCATATTTGCATCCTAAAAACGATCTGTTGCCGCTCAGCCCAACAAAATATGTCTTATATGTCTATGATTAATTTAAAAAATAATAACCATATCAACTGTGTAATAAAACAATTAAATATCATATTAATATAATCAATAGGTACATACAAGATCAGAGATGTAGAAAGGTACAACCTAACCTAACCCTTTTATTTTGTATGATACATTATGTATTTTAATAAAATATGTTAACAACTAGGACACTAGGAGGTAGGCACCTACCAAAAATAATTTCTTAAAATATAATACGTATACATATATACCTTAGTCGATTTTGAGAAGAAACTTCTAATAAACTAGAAAAAAAAGGCCATGATAACGTACCGTAAACAGCATAAACAATAAAAATCTTTATTACCTATGGTGATTGATGGTTGCACTCACCCCTTTGTTGTTCTAGTACAACTTAGTACCGAGTTAGTAGAATGGTGTATTGATATAAATAAGATATAAATAGTTTGGATAAAAAAGTCTTCTCACTCGGTACAGATTATAGGTAGGTATTATAAAATATCATATAAATATGGAATGAATAATAATATCCATAAGGACTATAGAATATATTTTGAGAATTTAATATACCTAGGTATATCATAAAGACCACGGAGTACAAGCCGTGATCAAGATTCAAGACAGATTGCCACTAAAAAATGTTTTGATATTGGCGACACTGATCAACAATGATGCTGATTTGAATAACGGCATCACGGCCATCACGTTAGTCGCGGTTACTATTTACTGGTTAGGTACGTTAGTTTTTTACGAGTTTGCGATTCCTTTGATATAGGTGCGTTCTTGAAATTCTTGAATCTTGAGAGTTGAGGTTTGACTACAACTGTTGAGCTGTTCACTGATTAACATGAATGTTCATGAGTTTATGTTTATTGTTTTTGTTTTTTGTTTTGCCAATACCCAATAGTAACCATATACTTATAGTTGTGAATTGTGATTGGAGACTCAGCACTACACTTACATAAATTATCAATTCAAAATTGTCCAATGATTGTACAAAATACGTTAAAATTGTAATCGAAATTAGTGTTCAGTAGTTCAATAGATATCGAGTGAAGACATTTGCTCCATCTACACCATTTGTTCGGTAAGTAGGTACTTTTGTTCACTGTACACACAAATATCACACAGTTCATCTCATAATGTTCAACTGATTACTTTATGTTACTTACGTATGTCTATGAAGAATTTTTTTTCGTTTTTGTTAACCTTTTGCCATTTTCTAGTTTATTTGAATAACTGACACTATGGGTGAAATCATATCAGACCAAGAGCTACGTCGTCGTTTGTTGGTATTCAATGCTGTGGTCCCTCCAGTTACCAGTACTACCAGGAATTTGTTATTGAAAAAACTTGCAAATCTTGAGGCTGTACAATCAGGCAAGACAGCTGCTTCTAGTAGTATGCCACCGCCAAAATTAAGAAGTTCGACTAATGGTACCAATGAGTCGATTATGATATCATCTTCTGGGGATGGAAAGCATTCTCAACATAAGACATTTGACAACATGAATAGTCCTAGGAAAAGCGCTCGTCAACAGAGAATGTATAAAGCTCCAGATCTATTCGATAACTCAGATTCTGAAGTCGATACTGGCTCTCTAGGACGGTCCATACTACCTGCTAATCCATATATAGCTAGTTCTTCTCCTAAATCAAATGAAACATCATTAATGAATGTATCCAACTGGAAAAATTCATATGACCATCAAAACACTTATGTGTCACCAGGTAAGTCATTAACTTTATTTTAAAATATTTGTTCCTTTCAATATTTTAATAATTGTATAATTAATTTACTTCCTACCCCTCAAATTTTAACTTAATTTAATAACTCAACAGAAAAAAAAAATTCTCCAGTTAAAAAACGAGAAATACCATCAGAAAAAATAACATCCAGAAATAACTCTAAAGCAACTATAACATCAACAGAAGGAGTTAGTCAACAACTACGCTCGAGTTCTGTTCCCAAAACTCTATCACATGCCGATCAAGCAATACTAAGGTGGAAAGAAAAAATGATGAACCAATCACAAGGTAAGTACTTCCCTAATTATTATTCATAGCATAAACTTATCTCCTTATTTTATTGTTGATGCATGTACATATTATAATGAAAAAAAATACAGAATATTATATTTAATTAATTTTCAGAAAAAGATACTGTATCAAAGCCTTCACTATTCAATTCACCATCTCCTATTTCAAAAATAACTTCAAGAAGTTTAAGGTTTGCTAAGCAATTTTCTGTGAACTCAAAATATTAATATAACTTTGTACAACATAAATATTATTTTTACTTAGGAATAACTATCAATCTGCACAGCCAAAAAGTCTAATAAATTATATGAAAAATAGTCAACATATCATCTTCCTTTTTGTTGGATTTTTCGCAATAATTTTTGGATTATACTTCATTTCAATACAACCAACTACAACTGTATTACCGCCAAGTAATGAAAAATGATTTGCTTATAATTTTATATTTTAATTTGCTTTACAAATTGTCATTATAAAAATCAGTTCCATATCTAACTTTTAATCTATTCTTAAACAGGTTAAAATTTGATTGTTTATTTTAACTGTAACGCACTTATCAGAAGTAGGTTACTCAAAATAATCTTATACTCCAAGCTTTGGGAAGTCAGTTATATATTTTGATAAATATTATTAACTTATACTAAAAACTAGGGTTGCCATATGTTCAGGTTTTAAATACAGTAGAACCTTGATTATCCTAACTATTTAGGACCGCACCTAGTTCGGATATTGGAAATATAAAACTAAAAATTTTTATAATATGTACATTAATTATTTATTATTTTTATAATTAAATATTTATTATTATCATTAATATTTTATTAGAATTACATACATTACATTATCAGAAATACATTACATTTATTCTATTTATTATATTTTTTTGACAAAATTATCAATGTTAATTTGACGATGAGGTGCAACTTGCTTTTCTGCTGCCTTTCATGATAAATTCAATAAACCGGACAGCCGACTGGCCAGATACGAGTTTCCATGTTCAGATAACAGAACATTTGGATACGCTAATTATAGTTCGAATAATCGAGGTTCTACTGTACATATATATCCTGATTGTTTGGGGATGACCAATTGTCCCTGAATTAAATTTTAATATTTTATGTTAACATTTTGCTTTCGAACAAACATTCCTAATAGAAAATCATTTTTGTTTTGATGAATGATAAAATAATTTTTTTACTACTCAATTGACTGCCAAAATGATAAACTTATTTCCCTAGCTTGGTGACTATCAATAATAACGAATTTGACCATTGTTTTCATTTTCCCTCGCTGCGATTGTCATCATCACGTACCGGTTATTGATAATTTTATTGGCTACTCATTCTGATTTATAATTTTGAGTTGATTTTTTTCCCTTATTAACACATGTCGTGAAATGCTGACCATAGTATTAGGTATTCCAGTAACAAAAAAATATGACATTAAAACTGTCATTTGATTGTATAGGAATGATTGAATTTTCCTATAAAAAACAAGGTCCTAGCTTAAGTAAAATTAAATATTGTTACACTAAAAAACGCTTAAGTTGTGTATAAAGGAAAAGTGGTTGGTGTTAAGACTAAAAACAGGCAAACATCCCCATGACAAATAGAAAGATCTCTGTACCGATTTATTTTTAAATATAATGTTATTAATATTATTAATTATTTAAACATACGTTTAATATAACTTAATGCATCAATAATATATTGCATTGATGTTTATTATTTTATGCATCAGAATTATTGAATTAAAAATATTTGAATCTAAAAAAATTACTATTATTATTTATCATTTTTAGGTATATTAAGCTCGTTGTGTGCCAAAAAAGGTCTCCAGGGAGATAACTGTGATACAGAACAAGAAAAAGTACAACGTTTGTATAATTCATTAGTATCACAGGTACAAGATAAATACATAAAGAACCAATGTGAAAAAACAGATATTGAGCCAATTGTAAATCCACAAGCTGTATTTGAATATATTTCAACTCATGAAAATTTACCATCCAGGGAAATTGAAGAATTAGTTGAACTTTTTAAAAGCATTGCAAAAACCTATTCTGATTCACCGATTGGATATGACACTGCGTTTAAAGTCAATACACAACCAAATTTGCCAATTCTCTGTGCAGTAAAACACATTTTTTCCAACATGTTCTATCTAATGACATGGCTTGGAATAGGTATGTATACCCCAAGTGTATTATTTAAAGTTTTGCAATCGATGCCAGATAAATTAATGTGGCGATGGCGGCAGCGCTATAACAAAATACCAGGCTTTCTCCTTACTTGGATGTGTTATTATAAATGAGTAAATTTCCATCTTATTACTGTATTTCATACTTCCAATATCACATTAATGTATTAATAGTATCATTGTCAGCCGAGTCATTTATTTTTATACATTTATATTAAACAAATTGATGAAGCGAGTGAGGCACAATCGTTACACACCATGACTAGTTTGGGCTACATTTACTAAAAAGCGCCGCTGGATCAATTTATCTGACAACGACTACAAGATTTTGTGTTTTGTGTATGTCAGTATGTTTTGTTATACTGATAACCAAACTTCAAACATTAAAACTCTCCATTATTTTTATAAATATTTATGTTCCCTCAACTTTTACGGTTAAATATCTTGGACTAACACTCAATCGCCGTCTCACTTGGGCACACCATATTAAAACTAAACGGCTGCAGCTGGATTCCCGGCTACGCATGCTTAAAACACTCCTCATTAATAATAAACACACCAACTTAAACACCAAACTCCTAATATACAAATCCCTACTTAAACCTATATGGACTTATGGTCTACAACTATGGAGAAATGCTGAAATCTCAAATCTTAAAAAAATCCAAACGTTTCAAAATATTACTTTAAGAAAAATGACTAACTCGCCCCCGTACATATCAAATTACACCCTCCACACAGATCTCCATCAAAAAAACTGTCCAAGAAAAAGCAAAATACTTTTATGAACGTTTTCATGATTGTCTCATGACTCAAATCCGTTAATCCGTGAATTAGCTTCAAATGAAGTTCCTGGTAATCCTCACAGACGACTAAAAAGAAAGTGGTGCGGAGATCTCCTCGACATCTAAAAAAAATAAAACGAATGGTTAAAAAGTAGTTTAAAAAAGTCAATTGGAAGTGTCACTACTTGCTTCTTCCGACAACTCATTTCATGTCACTGTATACATTAACCCATATTCTTATTGTGCCTCATGGTACAGGTTGTATATTTCTTATAATAAATAAAATATATATATATATATATTTATGTAATTATATTCAGAGCTCAAACACATTCTGAAAAATAATTTTGTAATCTGGAATTTGAAATTTGAACTGATGGATAATATAATTGAATATAAACTTAGTTATTTTTTCATGAAAATATCCTATATTAGACAGCTATGTTATTATTGCAGTACACAAAATATGTGCCCATTAAATTCTAAACTATTCCAACAAAACCAATATTCTCCTACCATGAAATAATTTAAATATGCAATACATTATTTTTCAAAAGATATTGTTTCTTTAAAATAATTGAATAGTTATATATATTTATTGTTTTTAGTGGCCCTGTCAATTGTAGGTCTTTATTTTGTTATATGCTACATCTCAACAAAGAGTGAAAACTATAAGCAGGAATTGAACCAATTAGTTGAGAATACAATTGAATTACTAAAAGAACAAGCACAAAATAAACCAAATGAAAGTTATCTACCTATTATTCATATACGTGATCATTTGATTCCATTCAATGAGAGACAAGGTAACATAATAAGCAATTTATTTTATATGTTAATACGTTATTTTCAAGTTAATATTTTATTTCTTAGCAAAATCTAAAATTTGGGCTGAAGTAGTTCAATACTTTACCGAATCTGAATCTAGTGTAAGATCTGAAGTCCAAGAAATTGATGGTGAAGACTTTCAAGTATGGAGATGGGTTCAACCTATGTCGCCTGGTATATAGTATGAGTTATGTTAAATGATGCAACATAATAACTTTAATTAAGTGACAATTAACATATGTAATTATTTTTATGAATAATTTTGTTTTTACTTAATGTTTATAAACCTTAATATGTTCAAGCAATCAAACATAAAATAGTTTTATTATATGAACAAATTTTTAACTGTAAGTACTTCAAATTTTTTTTATACTATTACGTATTATTAATTTTTCATAACAAAGCAATGTATTACTTTAATAGTAATTAATAGCATTCATATTTTTGTACAAATCAAAAGTAAAACAACATAGGTATTATATTTTTTGTTATATAACTTATTTGGAATAAATTAAACAGAAATATCATATCATGATGTTCATTTACTCCATTTTAAGTTAAGTTTATAATTTATAGTAATTGTTTGAATAATTGTATAAAAAAAAAGGTTGATGGTGGATACACTGCTGTTTTGTCTATTGTCTAAACCAGAGGTATCCAATTTTTTCATTTCACAGTTCTATCTCTTCATAACATTTGGTTGCTCTCAAGTAGTAAGGAAACAGAAAGAAAAATATGTTATGATGTTTAATTACTAATAATTAGAGGTCGGATTTATATTCTTTTAAAATCCTTAAAATATGATGTTTTTTATGTCACATAAAATAAGCAATATATTCTCTTAATATTCCTTTATTATTTCCTTATGCCAGATATATGATGTTTTATGTCCTTAAAATAAATATGCAAAATATTCTTTTGATATTAAAAAAAAAATTCATTTTAAATTTATTTTTTATTAATTTGGTTTTAAATATATTTAATTTAATTAATTTTACAATAACAATTAATAACTATATATTGTTTGATGGATAGTCGTCACAGCTAACGAAATAACCGATATGCTTTCGCAATCGATAAGGAATACCCGGAGATTAATTTTTATTAAAATCCAAAAGAATAAATCATTTAGTGAACATTGTATTTATCGAAGTGCTGATATACGTGAAATATGTTCATTATATGCCGGATATTACAGAAATATTCTCTAACCTATAAAATATGCTTTTTCATGCAAAATAAATTTTTTCCTGCGAATTCTGTGTTTCATGATTCGTAAAGATTGCTCACTCCCATTTAACTGTATTGACTAGAAACCAAATATGTAAAATCATAAAAATCCGACCTCTACTAATAATAATATATTATAAATTAGATAATTGTGTACTACTAGTTGTTTGACCATAATTCATCTATTGATGAATTTATCCAATATGTTTAATATTATTAACTCATAAGTAATAAAGTAAGTACCATAAGTAGGTATTATAAATATTTTTTTTATAATAGAGAATATTATTATTTTTAAACTGTACAGTTATATGTTATACTGTATGGAGCAGACAATTCACTCACATTTCGTAAAATTTTAAATGACAGTGTGACAGACTAAGATGGATGTGCACCCTTCCTCAAAGATTATAGAGTTACTTAATTTAATGCAGATGAAATAGCTAATAGAATATTATAGTTTGTGAAGTTTTCTTATTTTATTTTTTTATTCTGTGTCACATGATATACTTGTAGGTATCACTATTAAATATATTGAAGTAGGTATTCATGCATTTTTCTGTAAAATTGTTTAGATAAAATCTTGAAAATATGTGGTTTGTTTTGTAAAAAATAAAAATAGATACAAATCTACTTTATCAGAAGGTAGATTTTTTCTCAAAATATATGTTATTCTATGCTACATAAAAAAATGTTTGGAAACTATGGGAGATCATTGAGTATCATTTTCGTTTGGGTACGATGAATAATATTTCCATGGGCAAAATACTTCATTTTTGAGTTTCTGAGGAAAAATTTGGAATTTGGGTGATAACTGATTAATACGATTTTAGTAGCGAAGTTTGTATCTTTATTCTGGACTCCTTAGTTCTTGTGGTCTGTGAATGTAGAATAACATCCAATTTATATTGAAGTTTATTATTATATTGTAAATAAAAATACGACAATATATAATTGTATACCTATATTGTAAATAAAATTATGACACAATATATAATTGTATATATTATAAATATTTAATACCTCAGTCTAGAATATAGTAGATTACGCTAAAAATCTGTGTACATTCTGATAAAACGGGTGTATCCAAATAAAAATAAATAAACAAATCGTTTTCCGGCGTAAAGTATAGGCAAAATAGGTACATTACTGCAACGTTCGATTTTATTATTTCAAACGAATCAATCTAATGACCAAATGGTTTTGATTTTTTTTCGGTAATTATTTCATATTTTAAAAACAAAATTGATGGTATTTTACTATAATAAGTTACCTTAATCTTTTAGTTGACTTGTAATTATTACAAGCTTAAAAAAAAGAAAATTAACTTTTAACTTCAAACTTACAGTTTTCTATATTTTATAATTAACTTATCAAGTTAAAAATAAATGGTTAAAAGGCCCAGCCTTACCTATAGCATGTATACTACTAGTGATTAATAGGTATACCGATGTTGTAAGACATCTGCTATAAAAAGCTTACAATTGTTCACCCTTCATACATCTCTTGTTTAGCCTACCAGGTAAAATATATTTGTACGGTTGTACTTATGTATTTGAATAAGACACTATACGAAGAATGAGAACAGTATGATTGTATATAAATACATAAATATTATTACATTTATTATATGCAAAAACATAATGTGTTCCTATTTATATTATGAAATAGTTTGTTTTTTTATGTTTGTATGTTAATAAAGCAAGCAAAACATCTGATAATACTTTTTTGTATGACTAACTACACTTGACTACCACGGCAAAAAATAACAGAAGTAATTAACTATTAGCTTATTAAAAGTTAATTCTTAGATTTCCTTGAATTATCAATTAATATTTTTAAATGATTAAAATAATTACCTTTTAAGATATTAATGCATTAATAATTAACCTTGATTTATATTATGATGTCGCCACATACCGAACAATGCCGCAGCCGACAGAATGATGCCGTGGGTGATAGAAGGATGTAACGGACGACCAAGAAAAGCCTAGAAATGGGAAATATTTTATAATTTAAAAACATGAAATTGATGGTATTTCACTATAGTAATAAAAGTTAGACGTAAATTTGAATTCTATGATGTTGATATAAAATCATTTTAAAAAAACGATTCTGGGTGGAGCGGTCTAGCAGAAGACTAGTGCCTTCATCACTAAGTACATTAATTTTGTTGATATAATTGTGATTAAACTATTAAAGTACCTAATTTATTTTACTATTACCCATTAATATAGGTACTATAGTAGTACTCATCTTTTTCAAAAAAATGCTTTTGAATGTCATATTGTGTATAAAATATAATAATACACTTCAAAAGTTTCAAGTATCTACCATTTAATACATTTTTAACTTCAAAATAATGAGTGAATTTTCAAGATTTAGATGTATTTTGTCAGAATATGAACTTCGTGCCAATTTATCTTTAATATTTTTTAACTGCTATTAGGTAAATAAATATATAAATAACAACATATGAGGAACCTTGTATTAAATTTACAAACATTTCAGCCCAACAAAAACAATTTCATTTACATTTATATAGCATCTAAAACCATCCGCTTTTGAATAAAATAAGAAAATCGGTCGAAATGTTAACATCGAATGTAGAAAAAATTTGAACTTCAAACCCTCGTAATAATTTAATTTCACTTTTCAGTTAACTTTTTCTTTTAAATGTATGAAGAGTTATGGAAATTCTTGTATTAAATTTTCAAATCTTGCAAACAAATCTGTACCACAGAAATCAAAAACCAACCGTCAAGTAACGCAACTCACAAAAAGCAAATACCACAGGAGAGACAAAACTCTATATAATTATATAGTTTTTGTCGCCAATGGACTTACGATTATTATACTTCAATAATATTTGTATTTCTATTCTAGAAGAAAATTATCACGCTGAGCATACGTTTTAATTTCGAACATATTTTTATAGAGTAAAAAAAATGCTGAGATAAAGATTCCGAGAAAATATCATGAAAATATCAATGGTTAAATTTTTTAAAGTTATACTAAAAATTAAAATCGATTTTGTCGAAAACTGGTTTTGAGTAAAAATCTCGTCTTCCCTTAATTTTTTTTTCTCCGACGCTTCTGAAAAACTATTGGCAATTTTTCACTTTCGACCACTCACAGTACCTAATCTACTAGACTTAGGTCTTTAATGTAATATATAGTCAAATGTGTCCCGACCGACTGATCGATAGCAAATAGTATAGGTAGGTAGGTAGGTAGGTAGGTAATACTTTGTACTTGGGCAATCTATTATTTTAATTACCTATTGTAAATAGGTAGTAGTTATTCAACGAACACGTACAAGCAGTATAAGACCCAATAATTTATTCGTGTACAACAACACTTTTGGGTCTCAACTTCAAGGTGTTAAACCCATTATTATTTTTACGTTACAAAAAAAATCATCTTCTCTCGCTCGCGTCTCACGCATGCAGAAAAACGACTACACCGTGATTATACCATTATTGTTCTACGATTATACCGCGATCGTTTACCGTAGACGTGTTGTCGCCGAGGAGCGGGACGTGGCTACACTGGCTACTGCCGAAACGCTTGCGTGTTGCAACACTGCGGGAGTGTGCGTCTTTGACGTTAGGACGTCCAGCGCGTACGGTGCACAATACGCACACGGCGGTACGGCGACGGCACACACAATGCGTACCGTACTATTGTATTGTGTATAATATTGTATTGTTGTACATATATTTAGGTATACACCGGTATACGGTCGTAATGATGTTGTGTATCCGGTATTCCGGTATCGGCGGCGTAAGCACCAAGGTTACGCTCGCGGCAAGCTGATTAAAATAACGGCATTTTCGTGTCCAATAAAACATAATAATATTCTGCGCTATTATCATTTATCTCATTGTAGGTTAAAAAATAAAAACGGCCAAATTCCTTACTGATTGTCGCGCTACGTTCTGCCGATTTCGATCGAACGGCAGGGATCAAACGCCCGTGTGTGCCGGCTGTTATGGTCGCCCCAATAACGTTGAAGATTTTGAACCACCTCCTCTGACCGAACAAACGACGCCGGTACCGCCGCCGCCGACGACGACAGAACAGTTGTTGTTGTTGTTGTTGTTGTGGTTCGTTTTCTTTCGCAAACTCATCCCAGACCGTGAGTACGACAATTGGACAGAAAATCCAATCACTTTGTCCTCCTCTGTGGGCTCTATCACATTTGTACTGTGTTTCAATATTATGACACTGTGTTGCCAAACGGTTCTTCCGTTTCTGATACAAATGTCCATTTATCTACAACCGTTGGTTTTTGAT